CCCTCTCTTCAAGGACCAGGGTGTTAACTTCTTCGCCTCCAAGGTCGAGCTCGGCCCCAACGGTGTTGAGAAGATCCACGAGGTTGGCCCCGTCAACGAGTACGAGCAGGGTCTCATCCAGACCGCCCTCGGTGACCTCAAGAAGAACATCCAGAAGGGTGTTGACTTCGTCAAGCAGAACCCTTAAATGGTTTCTGAATCTGATTGAAGAAGGGAACAAAATTGCAACATCTCTCTGCAGCCGCTTTCCTCCCTGTATAACAGTCTTATGTTAATCCATACCCACTTCCCGTTCCCCTATGCACATCCCCATCTCACATTTGGCTTTTATATCGGAGGAAATGTAGCTGCGGAACTCGCATAGCAATGAGTTTTGAGGAGCCTGGGACTGCCAGGGGAGATGGACATGACGTGTATTTCCTATAAATAAGAAAAATCTAATGATTCAATGACTAGTGTATTTGTAGCCTTTCATCGGTAATTGTAGGAAGGACTTGCAAGCTGACCGTACATCACTCATAAACAACAATTGTCCACTTCAACCGAAGCAAAGCTTAACCCCTTGAGCAACTCTCATCACCCCGATACTATCAGAGCAAGTCAATCACCACTACTAGCAGTAATAGTAAGTATATATAAGTAACACATCTCCAAGAAACGAAAAAAAACCCTCCCACTCATTCCTACTCAAATTAGCTAGCAACTGGAGAAATTCAGACACGCACTCTACACATAGTCAATAGTACTACTACTAATCACCTAGAGAAGTAACCATCCAAGGAACTTACTAACCTAATGACTGACTATACAGTATAAATGCTGGCTTTTTTCCTTCTGGTTTCATTTTATTGCATATTTATTATTCTTCTTTATTCCTAGGTATATTACGTATGAACAAATCACAAGAGATGCTTGGGTTTAGATCACGTTATACTTCAAGCACTATGTCTTAATGCTGAAGTACTGCTAAGTGAGACTGGGTTCATTTATATGGGCTGAGTGGATGTAGTATTAGTAGTAGCAGCAGCAGTAGCAGCAGCAATAGTGGGAGATGCAATGTGTACATACACTAATTCTGGACCTTTCTTTGGTTACGATGACTGTTTGGTAGATATTGGATGTCGAGGTATTACACCTGTGGGCTGGCAGGTATTGTATGGTGGATAATGCATAGTATACAGCCTTGAGCGTTTCGTCTTGAAATATCTACTAGTATAGTACGGCAAGAAAGGATGGTAAGAAAAGTAAGTAAGAGTGGGGTATTTCGTTTCTCATTGTATTCCAGAATGTTAACTAGGTATAGTGGTTATTTTGTCATCATCCTTATCATCATCATCATGGGGTCGTCGATTGTGGCAAGTGTAGGAGTCAAATAAATCAACATCAACAGGAATAAAACAACGCATGAGAGGCAGATCTTTGGCAGGGAGGTGGTAGAAGAACAAGGACCATGCTGCATACTGAGGGGTAATTCAGTCAGATTGCGAACAGAAAAGACATGAAATGGAAGATAGATCATAGTCTTCGCTCGAATGAATACAGCGAGTTGATAAAGCAAACCAGAAGGTAGAGGATTACGTATAACTTCTCATGGCATCGAGGTATCCTGACCCACCGCGAAGGTCGCGGTCGAAGGTTTCAGCGACCTCCAGGACACGTCGGATGTGTTCCATGGACAGAGGGGTTTGCTCGTTGACAGCCAATGCTTGGGCTGTGCGGACGGAGTTTTTGATCTATAGACGGATGGGTTAGTATCCATACGTGTTGTCCGCGGAGGATAAATGGGGGATACTCACCTGACGCCCGTTGAGATTATGCCGAGCCAATAAATCAAAATCCTTTTCATTGAAAGTGGCGGTCTGCACGCCCTCTTTAGCCTGCACTCGCTCCAGAAACATCTTCCAGACGCTGCGCTTTGCTTTCGTGGTGAGTTCACCGTAGCGCAAAGCGACGTGGATGCGGGATTGGAAGGCGTCATCAAATGTTTCGACGCGGTTGGTGGTCAGGAAGAGAATGCCTTGGAAGTATTCCAGCAACCGCAGGAAGATGCTGACCAGAGCGTTGCGGTGAATGTCCTGGATGGTGCGCTTCTCCAGGAAGATATCAGCCTCATCGAGCAGTAGAACAGCGCCCCAGGAATGTGCGATGTCAAGGATCTTGTTAAGCTCTGCTTCGAGCGTGCGCGGATCGGTGCCCAGCTCACCGGCGCTCACCATGTAGAGCGGGCGTTTGAGGAGCTCTGCGATGCCTTCAGCAGTCAGGGTTTTACCAGTACCGGGAGGTCCGTGGAGCACGGCCACGAGGCCCTTGCCCTTGCCTTGGATGACATCGTCGATGTTCTGGGCCGCACGGAAGGTGTGCGATTCGACCAATGCCTTGACAATGGACTTCTGGTTGTCGGGGAGGACCAGCGAGTCAAAGGCATCTTCGTTCCATTCAATCTCACTGATGCCCGAGATGCTGAATTCGAGCCACAGCTTTTCACTGAAGGCGAAGCCGAGTACCACCGGGCTTGCGATGAGCAGCTCCTCTTCAGTGAATTCGCGGTCGGAGGGGTCTGCAACCTCGTCCATGTTCTCTTTGACAATTTCATTGCCGTTCTCATCCAGCTCGACCTCGACGACGTGCGGCTTGCCCTCCTTGTCCCGTACCACCTTGAATAGGAGCTGAGGGGTGTCTGAGTCGCGCGGGTGCCCAGAGGTTGGATCCGATTCTGAGTCCGACAGAACACAGCAGCACCCATTGTTGCTTCCCTCATCGTCGGAGCCGTCAAGGTAGTCCGGGTCCTTGGGACGGACCGTGCTAATGGGGTAGTTGGGATTGATGCGCCGGTGGATGGCAGGATCAACCATAACACGGCCGTTGATGTTGACCTTGATGACGGACCGCTTCTTTTTGTAGAAGGCCATGCCCTTGTGGTACCGGTAGTTCATGCCTCGCAGCGCCACAAACTTCTTGCCCCGCTCGATGAGCTTGGCCTTGACACTATCGGCTTCGCGATGATACTTGAGCGGATAGCAACTGAAACTGGTGATTTTGCGGGCACCTTTGAAGGACTCCACCTCGGCGGCCATGGTGCCCATGCCAAAGGCCTTGCCATCGTATTCGAGATAGCGACCCTCAATGCTGTACCATTGACCCTTCATAAATGAGGACTCTTTGGTTGCGTACTCGATCTTGAAGGCGCGAGGCTCATCCTGGTTGCCGTAGGTGGAGGAGTAGGCGACGGTGTTGGGCTTGAAGATGGCCCATAGCAGATCGAAGGTGATCATACTGGCGTCCAACAGAGGGTAGAGGGTTTTCTTGGTCTCGGCATAGTCGGTGTCCAGATACTTGACGAGCACCTTGAGGTGCGATGCTTTGACCTCGGCGAGCTTGCGAGCTTTCTTCTTCTTCTCGGTCTTGGCCAGCTGCCGGAGCTCTTTCATGTATTGCCGCGTCTCCTCAAGGTAGAGGAAGAGCATGTTGGGATCGACAACTGCTGTCTCCTGCACCAAGCTGACACCCTTGACTCCATCCATGACCTTGGACAGCGCATCGCGCAGGTACTTGCTCTTCAGGTCTACCACCGTCTCCAGGTACTTATTGTCCCAGTCGAACTTGCGGCGCACGGTGAAGAGGTATTGGTCCCACTCATTTGCGTCGGGGTCGTCGACCGTCTCTGTCAGCTTGAAGTTGTGGATCGTATTGTCCCATACTGCAAGATTCGTGTCAGTGAGATCCATAAGAGAGTGGAGATGAGAGTAGGGAAGACGCACGCTGATCTACACGTTTGAAGGCAATCTTCGAGGCAGCCTTCTTGCGTCCCTTGGACTTTTGCGAGCTCCCTTTCTGGCCGTCGGTGTTACCATCGCCCGAGCCACGCCTGCCGCGGCCTTTGCGACGCCCATCGGCCAACTTGACTCGCAAGGAAGCTAACTTCTGCTTGGCTAGCAGCAGAGCTAGCTCGTCGGCGTCTGCATCCTCGTCGGCATCGTCATCATCGTCTTGTTGCTCCTCGGAAGAGTCTTCCTTGGAGCGCGACTTCTTGGAGTTCTTCTTCGCCTTCAGCTTGGCGACCAGCTTCTTCAGTGTCTTTTCATCAAGAGACGAATCGGAGTCGCTACTATCCTCGAGGTCGGAATCGGATTCCGATTCCGTCTGGTGCGACCGGCTCTTCTTCTTACGACTGACACTTTTGAGCGATTTCTTGATCTTGTTTTTGGCCCGGCGGCGACGTTGTTTGCGATCCGACTCAGAGTCCTCGTCCTCGTCCGATTGAGCGTCTTCGTCGTCGTCAGTAGATTCCGCGCTGGATTCCTCGGAGAAGGAATTTAACTCCGAAGAGCTATCATCGCTGGGGGTGACGATGGAGGCGGCCTTGCGGTGGGACTTTTTCTTTTTCGAGCGGTTGGGATCCTGGTCTTTTGTCGCATGCTTGGAACACACGGACTTTTTGGCGACGGGTTCGGAGACCGCGACGGGGGCTTTGGGGTCGGACTTGACTGGGGGAGCATCGACGGGCGGGTCGGCGTCGAGCTTGGATTCGGGGGAGGAGGAGACGGGGCCACTAGCGTCGGCCATGGTGGTACCAGTAGTGGTAGCACTGCTGGAGTCGCTGGTGGTGGCAGGGAGTGGAGCTGAGCCAGGGACCGGGACGGGCACAGGCCCACTCGTGGCCGGATTGCTGTTGGAGCTTGGGTCGCGCTGAGTCTCGAGCTCAGTTTGCTGGGAAGGGGATTGGGAATCAGTGGGGATGGTCATGACAGGGAGGAGAGAGGAGTAGTGTGGAAAAAGTTGGGAATATATGAGGATCAGAAAAAGAAAAGAAAGACAGTTAGACAGTTACAGATGGAAGGGGATGATGAGTAGTGATACGGAGTAAGGAGAGATGGGAGAGAGTGGATGATGGACGATGAATGGGAGGAAGATTGGGGGAAAATGCCGTGGATGGGGAAATGGGAGAAAGAGAGAGCGAGCGAGAGAGAGACTCACATACTCGGATGCCTAAGAATAAAAACTATCCTCGCTTGCAAGAGCGCCTTGCGTGTTGGCCCAGCAGATGGCGGTGTGTGCTGCCTGACCACCCAAGATGAGAGAGTGTGTGTGAAAGAGAGAGAAAGAAAGAAGAAGAGAAGAGAATAGAAGGGAAAGAGGGAAAAGAGCAAACAAAATGACAAGCAGATCGACGAGCAAAAGTAATAAATAAATACCCTTAAGAGTGAGGCGATTGATTGACTGTGACTGACTGACTGACTTTGACTCCAAGTACAGAGCAATGATGCCTGTTCAACCTGATGCTCTGCCTGCTGCACAAATAAAAAAAGAAAATTATAAAGGAAGGAACTCGCCGGATTGGGAAGAGGCTGGGATAGCTTCAAAATTGGCAGTGCCAATAATAATGCACATCTCACCGGGTCAGCAAATGCATCACGATTGGATTGTCACCCTGCCAGGCGCTTGGAAGGAGTGGCACAGACTTTCCGACCCCCCAAACCCAAACAGCCATTCAGCCGCAGAATCAACTGGATCATCTTGCGCAGTCTGGAGAGAGCCATCCCCGGTCACCGACATTTGCCAACGTGCGTGTGTCTCACATGTGCTGTCAGTGCAGTGCAGTGCAGTCACGGTTGGGGATGGAGAGTTGATTGGGGAAGTAAGTAGTATTCAGATGGATGGATGATCATCGAGATGGAATCAAATGAAGGAAAGGGAATGGTTACTAGTGAAGTGGTAGTCACTGGATAGCAGGCAGCAGAAGCAAGCAGTGACACATTTAGCAGGAGGAGTCATACTGAATCCTCATCAACACTGACAGGCAGCCTTGCTCGTATTCGTCCGAGTCCTGACCAACTGATATTCTCCGTTCCCGTTCCAGTTCCAGATCCCTGCCTGCCTGCAGCTGAACCAGGTGAAGAGTTTCCCAACTCCCTTGCACGGCCCGGGATATTCATCCGCGGCAAAGTACCACGGCTCGGTACTTTTGTGCAGCAGCCAACCCTAATACTTTCCATCCATGTCTTATCTTACAACCTAGTGTATATTTACTAGAGAGTTGAGATCTCAAATTAAGATGCTTACTCGCGTTCAAGATTCAACTATATATTGTCCCCACTAAAAATACGATAGACGTCTCACGAACAGTAGAGCGAGTATACCTTAAAGCCAATGTATTGGCTTAATCCAAGATTAACAACACCATAGCAGTGTTGATGCTTTAACATCTACATGAGAAGTAAATAAAAACCAACATCAGCTGAATTGTCATCTATACCTAGTAGTTAGTCTCGAATTCGAGCTGGGCCTTAAGACAGCCTGTTCTTTAAGTTCACCCCTATCCAAGCCCTTATGATAGAGCTAGTATATACTGCGCTCACCTCTACTCCTTTCGCATATAAAATCACAAATACTACTATAGATGAAGCGAAGTTCCCATTCTTGCCGACTAGTCCACTATCCGATTACCAGCATCCTATCTCTATAGTTTAATGTAGTATATACCAGAAAACTCCCAAAAACATAGGTTTTCCATACCCACTAGTAGAAACACTGACATACCCAACTCCACCAGACCCCAATCCAGCTGGCCCACCACTATTCACTTAGCAGGAACAGAGAAAACCTTCACTGTCACCAGTAACACTGACAGAACTCACTATTACATCTCTACTATCCCCATCTTCTTCCCCCATACTTCCTCTCCTCTCCTTACCATTTCCACCTCACCTTCTCCGTCTCCATCCATCCATCTGCATAACATCCCATCATTCTATCACCACATCACCAAACAAGAACAGTAACAAAACAGAACAAAAGACACGACACCAACAAGATGTCCTCCAACCCATCATCCTTCACTCCTACCAACGCCCCCCTTCCCAATAACAACAACACCAAGAACGGCCCTACCGCCCCAAAGACACCCACCAAGAAAACCAGCGTGACAATGGTAAGTACATACCCACATATAACCCCCATCATACACTACTCCATACATACAAACTAACATAATAAACCCAGACCCCCCAAACCCCCACCCCAACCTCAACCAACAGCAACAGCAACCCCAAAAAACGCCTCACCCCCTCATCATCCACCACGACCCCCACCAGCACCAGCAAGCGCACCAAACAACGCACCACCCTCCCCCCAATCCCCACGACCCTCGCCAGCGCAACCGAACCCGACCTCCTGATTATCCGTCTCCGCGACGAAAACCAGGCCTCTTGGAACGCCATCAACCAGGCATGGACGGACCTGACGGGCGTGAGTGTGGGCGGGACGACGCTCAGAGCGAGGTATAATACCATGAAGAAGAATTTCGTGGTGGTTGATCCAGCTGATGTAGTACCCCCATCTTTCTTTTTCTTTGGTTTGAGTTGATTGCGGGGAGGGGGGTTATTATGGGACTAACATGCGATTGTGTCAATAGGAGGCAAAGATTCTGCAAGCTAAGAAAGATATCGAGGGACGATTGGAGACGGAGAAGTGGAGGTTGATTGCGGAGGAGGTGGAAAAGGCTGGTGGGGGGAGGTATCCCGGGGAGTGTTTGAGGAGGTATGTGAGGGAGATAGAGAAGGAGAAGGGGAAGAAGGGGTTGCTGTCTGCTAGTGGTGGTGAGGAGGTTCAGGATGGGGATGATGTGAAGATGGAGGTTGAAGAGGAGGAGGATTAGTTATGGTATGGACACAGGTCTGGCTGTGGGTTCTTCTGTTGTTGTGGATGAAGTTGTGCTGGGCATGGAACTAGGATATGGGAAGTTACAAAGTGACAGACAACTACAGCATGAAAAGGCAATAAGGATAATCGATCAATGCTGCTTTACTCCAATACTCTGTACTCGAGGTATCATAATCAAGAAGAAGAAAAACACATTCACAACACACTTAATTCCCGACGCCCATAATCCTCCATCCCATCCCTCATATAATCATCACTGTCTGTGCGTGCTACAATCGCCGGCCGGATCTTCGTCCCCACGAACCCACGCCGGTCTCGCCCCGTGCGTCCGCGTCCTAGCCAGTTGTGCTTCAGCTCCTTGCTCAGGATCTCGATCTGCTCCTGTGCTCGATCGCCTGTTTGCACGCTGGCCAACACGCTGACGCACTGGAGCATCCGTCCCACTGTCTCGGTAATGATGTGTGACGTGTCCGTGTGCGAGGACCGGTGGATAATACTGGGCCGTTGCGTGGGTGACGAGATTGATTGGAAGATCAACTGGTCCGGGTTGGACGTGTTGGACGCCGCCCGGCTGCGGTTGCAGTCTAGTGAGTCGGATGAGTAGCTATTTGCGGCATTGAGGAGCGTCGACGACTGCGAGCTGTAGCTGCCGAACCCGCCGTCCAGCGAGGCCGATGTCGTCGGCCGCCCGCTGTTGCTGCTGCTCTTGGTTGTGACGCTCAGCGCTGCCGTGCCGAGCTTGATGCTGTCGAGACTCAAACGGGAAAACGTTGCCTTCAGCACGTCGTACCGGTACAGGATGACCATATCGCGGAAAGCGATCAATACCAAGTTGCGCACGTCCAGCTCGCAGCCTGCGTACTCGCCGTTGAACGCGGACGCCCAGAACTCACTGGCTTCTCGTCGGTTCATCACGGACCCACATCCCTTGAACTCTAGGTCTAGGGGCAGGAAGACAGCCTGGATGAATGGCAGGATCGTGCCAAACACGAGCATCCACACTTGTACCAGATGAGGGACCAGCTTCTCATCAGGAATGCCATTCAGCGTATGGTTCAAGGAGGCGCATCCTGTCTCTAACAGCTCGCGCAAGTCGTCTACCACTGCGGTGGGCATGCGTTTCTGGACGCACCGCTGGATATGGATGAGGACTAGCTTATTGAGATCCTCGATGGCAATGCGAACATCCTCTCCGTCAAAAATCACCATGAGCTTGGCCTTGAGAAAGTCCCACGCATCTTCCGGCGTCATGTTATTCAGTCCAAAGCCCTGGAGGGTCTCCCGGAGAGCTGCCTCCGCCAGGACTCCTGTGGAGCTGCCCAGCGACGACGGCCCTGCAAACGTACCCGGCGCAGGTCCCGATGAGTTAGCCACCCAGTCCAGCTGTTCTGACTCTAACGCCTTCTCTTCCTTCTTCTTATCTCTTAACCCATGGAGCAGGTCCAAGCCGCTGACACTTTTCCCAAACGTAGTCGTCACCGCACCTGGCGATGCCGGGGTAAACGAGTACAATGACTGAGGGGCGTTCGGATCCGAAGGTTTAGAGTTACTCGACGCGGATGAAAGCGGCAGGTTGTAGTGATCATCTCGGTCTTTCAGCTTCAACTTCTGCCGCGACAAGAAGTGATGCTTGTGCTTATCCTTATCCTTCTCTTTCTCCTTCTCGCTCCCCACCGGCTTATCGGCGGGAACTACCGTACTCGCCGATGCATTCGACAAGTTGTACAGAGACGAATTATTCGAGGGAAACGTATCAGCCAAGCTTGTTGTCGACGCACTCACGATCCGTGATAACCCTCCGCTCGGAAACCCCATCTTACTCGGTGACGGCAGGCCCCGGTCCTTGCTAATTCCGTCTTTATCCCGACTTATCCCAATGTGTTTCGGCTTCGAGAACAGCTTCATCTTCGATTTCTCGCCCTTGTGCTTGTGCTCCCGCTCTACGGGCATCTCCAACCCGGGCGGCTGCAGCGCCGGATTGCGAGGAAACACTACATTTGCCGCCGTCGTTGCGGCATGTGTATTCCCACTCGTAGACCCACTCTGATATGATGCCCCGGACGCACTTCCCGAGCTTGTTGGGGGCGCAAATAACGGCGCTGGAGGCGGCGGGGGCGGAGGGGAAGCACTCCCGCCTCGTCGGGACCGGGAACCGTCTTCGGATACACCCCGCACTGGGGGAGGACGCTTAGGAGGATTCTGGGGAGCAGTCTGCTGTTGCTGAAGCATGGCCGCCTGGGCTGCGATTCTGGAAGCGGATATGGTAGCCTCGGAGGAGGACGCCGTGGGGAGGGACGGCTCGAAGAAGCCCTGCGAGTGGTGACGAGAGCGTCTCTGCAGTTCCGGCGGGCCACCCCGACCCGACGGTTTCCTGCTCAGGATCTCACCATGAGGCATGAAGGAGACGGGTGATCGAATGGTAGAAGAAGAGGAGGAGGTATGGGTGTTTGTAGTGGCGGTCGAGATGGGAGGAGGAGCGGTGGTGTTGGCGGTGATGGATGAGGTACGTGGAGGACGAGGAGAGGAGGTCACCGACACGGCACCGGGATTTAAGGCAGAGTGACGCGGCGAGATGGTGGTCACATTGGAAGTAATCGAGGAGGCATCACTGCCTGAGGAAGCTGGGCGGGCGTAGGAGAAGTCGTCGAAGGAGCGGCGAGGGGGCTGTGAGAGTGGAGGAGGAAGAGGTGAGCGAGACGAGGATCGCTCGGGCGACACCGGCGAGCGCAACATGGTGTGAGCGAATAGATGGCTTCGGAGACTATGCTATCGAGACACAAACCCCGAACCCATGATATTGAGGGGAGGGAGAAAAGTACTAGTAGTGCTGGCGGCGAAAACCAATCTAGATCCCCTGGATTGATTGATTGCTTGTTTGGCTTTCAGCCGCCTTGGGGAGGATCAGCAAACCGAAGAGGCGCCCGGCCGGACGATCTTCGCTCGTGAAACAAATCCAGCGCAAAGCAAGGCTCCCCTCCCGCCCGCACGTCCTTTTCTTTCTCCAACTTTATCCATCCCACTTGATTCCTTTCCCCCACGACAATACGCATACATTGATTTTATCTATTCCCTTCGCCAACGCAATCAATCACTATGTCTGCCAACAAGCTTCACGCTGCCTATGTCGCCCCCGACCAGTCTCGCACCTTCGAGCACAGCATTTCTTCCCCGCTCCCCTCCGCCGACGCCGTCCCTCAGAAGGTGACCTATCTCGCTGAACTACGCAAGCTCGTACCCACTCTGCAGAACGACATCAACGTATTCCTGACCGAGCGTATGGAAGAGGACAAGAAGGCCGCCGAGGCACAGGGTCGCACGGTCTCTGACAAGGAAGCCAAGGAAGAGGAGAACTACGGAGAGGAGGTTGTGGAAGAGGATGCTTGATCCTGTCGCACCCACAAGTGAGACGGTTGAGAGCGTGGAGACTACGAGGCTGACGAGGAACGAATCACGACTAAATAAATCATATGCATTGGATCCTTGAATACCGCTATCCCGGGGTATCATAGTGTAGGAAATGTCCGCCACTCCGGTATGCTTTCGTTGAACAAGACATGGCCAGGAAATGCGGAAAGGGAGATCAGGAACAACAAAAGAAAAGAAAACCAGAAAACGCAGACAGAAAAACCTCAATAACCGATACCACAACAAACCTCTATATACATACAAATGAGGCTCAACGCATGCGATTGGCACAGCCAAGATGGACAACCGTATTACTGCCTCAGTTAGCCATGCTCCAGTCAACAGAATTTGGCTATACTTACTCAGGAAACACATTAATCACACTGCCCCCGATCCGCTTGTGGCAGATGCCGCAGACCCGCTCTTCGGTGATGGTGACATGTCGTGAGCGCGTCGATCGCCCGTCCGTTCCCTCTCCTACCAATAACTGCGCCTGTGTCTTGATGTCTTCTGCCTTTTGAAGGTTGGCCACGATCCGGCTCTCGTTAAGGATTGTGTTGGCGGCCCGCATACGGCCCTTGAAATAGAACTCGAGCTCCTTGACCGGGAGCGATTCTGGGATCAGATCCAGAGCAGAATTGGGTGGCAGCCGGGATCCATGTTTGGCCAGCACCTCAAGCGCGGGCCCGTACCGTGGCTTGTAGCCATGCGGCGGAGATAGATATAGAGACAAGAGAGTCAAATAAATCGATGGTTTGTCATCTTCGTATGGTAGTAGAGCTACGCAGCGCGAAGCCGATCCATCCGCAGCAGTCGTATCCTCCACTTTATGGAGATGATTACAGTATCTGAACGGTCAGCAGAACTCAAGTATACCGATCAATGCAACTCACTCTTCAGCCTTGACGTAGTCTTCCAACTTGAATACGTAAATCTCCAGTGCCTGCCGGTGTTGTCCCATCTTGCTGAAGACAATCGCTCGTGCCTCGAAGAATTCAGGATCTTGTCACAAGTCAGCAACGCATTGTAAGCGCAAGGAGGATACTCACCGTCTCGGTCCAATCGATCCAGAATCTTAGCCGGTGAATACTGGGAGCTGGACTTGAGCATATTCAAGAACTTGCTCTGCCAATTTACATAGTCATCCAGGCTAGAGAACTCCCACTCTTTAGCCTGGTGCTTCTTCAGCCGGTTCAAGTACAAGATGAGCAGTTTCTGATGCAGATCCGGTGTCATATCATTCAACTCCCCAATGATATGCTCCAGGTAGCGGACAGCCAGATTGACATCAATTCCCTGCAGGAAGTCTAGCACTCGTTCCCGCGGCAGCGTCTCGGCGTTCTCCGTATCGGCTAGGAATATCTCCATCCCCAGCTCAGGATCCTGACGTACTGGCCATTCAGCGAACTCGAGGATCAAGTCAATATGGTCTGGAGACAGATTCTGTAGATAATTGACCGTTCGCTTCGGCCCGTGCAGCTGCGGCGCCGTCTCTTCTTCATCGTCGGCCTGTCCGAACTTCTGAAGCAGCTCCAACGCTTGTCGGTGCAGCTTCTTTCCGTACAAGAAGTCAATCAGATCGTTGTGACGCCCCGTCTCCTCCAATTTTTCCATCACCACATCCGGGTCACAGAAGTTGGCAATGCGGAACAACGAGCCTGCCAGAGCTGGAATAGCGTACATGTACGCCCGGAAGAGAGTCGTGTCCACGAGCCTGGCCTTTTCCCGCAGCTTCTCCCCGAGATCGTACTCACCCTCCGGATCAATGCTCAGCAGCTTCATGACCGAGTCCGTTAACGCATCGTTCGCGCCGTCCGTCGTCGCATCAATCACCTTTAGCGTTCCATCCGGGTTCAAGAAGCGCTGGAACCGCCTCCGCACATCTGCCAGATATCTCTGCAGGTCACGAACAGCCAGCTTGAGATCGGCACCTTCCAGCGCCTTGTCGTTCTTGGCCTCCTCGACAACCTTGCCACGAATACTGCCCGCATCACTGCCGTCATCTGTCCGCGTCCGTAAAAGTGACATCACAGACGGAGCATGCGAGAGTGTCTTCGGCGCTGGCGTTTCCTCCGTAGCCGGCGCGTCCGTCGGGTTGTTGTTCTCCTGCGTCTTGGACTGGCTGTCTGTCGTTCCATCTTCTGACTCCTCCGGTTCCTCAACAATCGACGACAGCTCCCCGGCGATGATCTTCGGATACAGCCGTATCACCGTCTCCGGAGGCGCAGATATCTCCGTGAACAGATCCATCGAATCGGTGTACTTTCGCATCTTGAACAGCCCTTCAGCCTTCTCCAGCTTGATCTGGCGCAGCCGGCCCTGCTTATCCCTCAGCAGCGCATCCTCCAGCATACTGGCCAGACTGATCGCCTCGTCCAGATACCCCTTCTCGACCAGCGAGTCAATCTGCGTATCATAACTCAGCGCCTCCATCCGCCATATCGTCCGGTCACTCGCCACCAAGAACCCCTTCCCAGCATGCGCCAGACTAATCGTCGGCTGCGGGATATGCATAATACTTGCTGATGGCAACGGCACCGACTGCAACAGCGACAACGTCTCCGGATTTCGTACCTCCAACACTCCCTTCGAGGAATCATGCAGCGCCAACAAGAACGGATACGAGTAGCCAATATCCGCCGGCGCATGACTCCACGGAATCTGTCTCCTCCCCAGCGAATTCCCCTGCACATCAATAAAATGCGTGTTGATATCCTTAGCCAGCAACACCTGGCCCTCCTTCAACCTCGTCGCCAACGGCTTCGGCGCACTACCCCCAAGCCCCATATAACTCATACTGGCGACTCCCACCCCGGCCAACCTCCCCGTACTCTCCTGTCCCCCTAACCCCCCTATCCCAGACGGACCAGTCAAATCCGTCACCGTCCCACCACTACCCCCCTCAATATCAACCATCACAAACCCCGAGCCCAAACCAGCCACCAACCTCGTCCCAGACACCCACGTCAGCGTCTTAATCCCACTGACAAGCGTCATCTCCATAGGCCCGCCCCCTTCCATCTCCATATCCCGCCACACCCACAGCATTATCTTCCTCTTCACCGCCACCGCCACCCTCGACACAATAGCAGGCACTCCCGTTTCGGAATCATTCTCGATATTCGACGTCACCGCAAACGTCGTCGCCCCCTTCGTCTTCCCCAATTGCTCCTGCAACGCATACGTCCCTAGATCATGTAGCGAGACGTACCCCCCAGATAGAGAAACAAGCACCTTGGCTTCCTTAATCAGCGCCAACTGCTCGATCTTGTATCGGGAGAACTTCTCCACTTCGCGTAGTAGCTCCGTGGGTTTCTTGTGCTCCCGGGTGCCGTTCGTAGTTCCGTTCGTGATGATCCCTGCCTCTCCATTGCCATTCCCTTGTTGATCGGTATCTTTCTTCCCCCCCTTCCCTGTATCCTGACCATGCTGCTCATGTTGCTGTCCTTCACCCCCCTCTTCTCCCTCTTCTGGCTCCTCTTCCTGCTCATTCACCCGGTATATCCTCAACGACCCATTATTCAGCCCCGCCAGCACGCGGTCCCCATACGCCAGCACGGATTCGATCCGTGAGCGGTCGCGCGGTTTGAGTTCCACCAGGGGGCGGGCTGTGAATGCGGATAGCATCTTCTTCTTCTTCGCCTTCGTAGTATCTTTCCTTCGGAAAAGTAATAAGCGGTATGTATGTTCGTGTATATATTCAAATTATCGGTGGGGTATAGTGCGGTGTGGTGGCTAGCTAGCTAGCTAGCTCGGTAAGTCGTAGAGGATGGATGCTCGGGAAGGAGGTGAGGTAAGTGGGTAATGCGCCGTTCGCGATCGGGGGTAGGTTCATGTCATGTCGTGGCTATGGTACTGTGCAATTAATTTCGAGGTGGAGTTAGAAGGTGTAGGTGGGTGTCATGGTGGTGAAAGTTGTTGTATGTAGGTAGGTAGGTGAGTGATGTGGTGCTGCGGTGCAGTGCGGTGGTTGGGCGGAGGTTGATAGCGGAGCTCCTAGTACTACGGGCGGAGGAGTCCAGCTGGACCGGACAGCTGCACACTCCCCCGGGCCGCGCCAAGATGGGTTTCCCCGTCTGTCTGTACTACAACTACATTCTGTATTTGCTTGTGACAGCATCCCTTGCGTGTCATTCATTAAGAAAGGTATTGTAGCTTAATGATTACATCAACGTTGTCTTGAGTATCTAGTCTATTATGCTAAGCTAACCGATGGATGGATGTCCTGCACACACCGCTACTATCCCATCCATGGATGTGCCATCCGCTGGCTTAAAGCTCCGATCCCATGCAATGAATCAATTCCATAACTGCCCAACCGACCGATCAAAACCCATAACACAGCCCGACGGACCGCGAGCGACAAGGAATCCGGACTTTTGCAAATATCAAGACCAAAGAATGGAGAAAACGCACGGCGCATGTACAATGTGAAGGGTAAGCCGATTCCCGACCGGGAATATGAGAATGGCAAAACCGATAGGTAGGATAACTATATGACCGGAAAAGGTCGATAGTGTTTCGGACTATTCAGGATAATAATAATAGTCGTCGGAATGCCTCTCAGATCATGCCTTGATCTCCGTGGGGTATTCCTGGTGTTTGGCCGACGTGCCCTTCGCACGCCATGTCGAGACGGCGGGAATGTCTGCCTTGAACCGCTGCTCCTCAGTGCCGTATGCGCGCGGCGTGAGCTTGATTAGCGTGTGGAGCGGCACCTCCATCCAAGGACTTTGCTCCTGCGGCGTGTTGAGGAAGTAGGCATAGATGCAGCGGAGAACAGCCTGGTGCGTGACAATGATGACATTCTCGCTACGCTCCAGCTCCATGATAATTGGCTCCAGCCGGATGACCACATCGCGGTATGACTCGCCACCCCGGTAGCGGTAGTTGTACTTGTCCTCGTCGCGCGCCGCAAAGTCTTCCGGGTACTTTTCCGCAATCTGCTCGTACGTGAGTCCGTCGCAGACCCCGGAGTCAAGTTCGTCTAGCGCCTTCCATTCTAGCTTCTCGAAGCCCGTCTCCGCGGCGAGATGACGAGCCGTCTGAATCGTACGTTTCAAAGTTGACGTCCAGATAACGATCTTGGTGTTGGGTGGCACCCCAGACTTCTTTAACAACCCAGGCAGCGCGCGGGCATATGCCTCTCCACGTTCCGAAATGTTGGAGTCGCCGCCGATTTTCCCCGTTAGATTATATTCTGACTCGCCGTGCTACACAAGTTAGACCAACTCTGTATACTGATGTAGGAATAACTTACCCTAGATAACCAGATCGAGCGAGGTTTAATGTGAAGGTTCTGGATGTAGTATACTAGCCGACTGGAAAGATAATCCTTAATCTGATTTATGATGACGGTCGATCCGACATTGATGAGCTTGACGTAGGTAAAGTGCTTCTCGTTATCGTCAATGGTCTCATAGACCTTCTCGTAATTGCGAATGCGGTTACGGAAATCAAGAGCAGCAACTTCCGGGTCCTGCCCCTTGTAATCAGGCGACGTTGTCTTGACTTCCAGAATGTTGTTCATAATCAAATCTTCATCGTCACATATTGACTCGACGTATAATGTTTCGACGTTTGCCTCTTGGCAGCGTTCATGGATCCAGCGCCGTCGCTCTTTCGTAGAATTGGTCGCATCCAGGATAGCTACGACGCCTTTCCCGGACTGAAACCACTGGAGCATATCAGACACCGCAGCCTCGGCGGCGGCGCGCCTCATTTTTTCGCCTTCGGTATTATGAGGGTCGAAGAAATTCGCATTGGGCTGTGGCGTGCCTGCACGACGGTAGCTGCCGACGTTGAATACCCGAGCGGGGATGCCAACCCAGGCAAGATATCGCATGGCTGCATCAGTTAGAGCCTGACTGACGTGAATAAACAAAATGACTAGCAGCGTACCTTTTCCAGCTATAAGACTCTTGCCTCTGGCTGGGAGGCCAACCATGACCACACAAATTTTGGAGTCATCAGACTAAGAAGAGTAAGTCTTTCTGGAGTGTGGCCATGTGGAACGACGTAGATGCTCATATTGGGGAGAGTAGAATGTTGCGACGAAATAGACATGGCACAGAATAAACAAGCAGGATTGCAGTGCAATGAGTTTAGGGTCACTGCAGAACCGGGCAATTACCCCTCCCAAAAGGAGGGGTATACAGCCTCACCGAACGCATGCCAGGGGAGTACATAACGTCACCGGCAACACCGGGTCACCGCGCCACTCAACCAACAGACAACGATAAAATAACCGATTCACTTACGCTGGCGAAATATGTCTTATGACCATTGCCCCTCCGAATGGAACCGGACGACATGATGAATGAACGGGAGAAATGAGCAGGGAATCGACTCCTGACTGGGATTGACTTGAAGCGGTTGAGGCAAACTCAAGACCTCGGCCACCAGGGGTGCCCGACGGGACGCAAATCGGGAGAAAGGATGTAGGGACGGATAAGGTCAGTAGCGGGTAAAAAGCACAGGGCGTGAGAGTAGCGAAAGAGCGATAAATCTGCAAGTAATGGACGTGTCGGGGGGAAGAAATCGTTCTAGAAAAGTTGAGTTTGGACAGATCCGGCCTGTCTTGGTATGGGGGAGTAGCAATAGCAAGTAGTACAAAAGTAGTGGAAGTAGTCAATTGATCAACAGCAGCTCTGGTTGGATGCCATTAAACCCAACAATCGATGCGGTGAAGAACGAGAAGCACAGACGTCATGCCGCGGGGCAATCGCAACAAGGCCGAGTCAAGGCAGGAATTATCCAGTCCTTCAGAATGATTCACTCTCTGAATGGAAATCGAAGAAGTTCAGAACACCTCTGGAAAACTTCGATCGCAGGACATCCGGGGAGATGGTAAATTTCCCCAGTCTTGCCTGATCGTCTGGCCCCCGACTATTTCCCTCCGAATGGAACTAGTATTGCCTCCTTCTGTCCACACGTGATCTCCTGCGTTTTCGTCGGGTAAAATCGCGACCGAATTTGGATGGAAGAGGGGCGCGTCGGGATGGAGTCTGAATCTGGCTGGACGTGAAATCTGGGCGCAAAGTTCCCAGTTCCTGGGAGGCTCCCCTGGTGACACTTCTTATAGTCGAGGATCGCATGATAATGATACTACCTTGTATGATCTTGAATGATTTGATATCCAATGGAGCCACGCCGATTGGGTCCCTTGCATGTCTCCCTGGTGGGACTTTAGACGACTATCAGCCGAACTCCTCATTACCCCGTACTCCTGGGGTCGATTTACATGAGCGATTTTTCACCATAGTCTGGACCCAATGAGCCCAATATTGGGTGATGCTCCGGTCGATTCCGTCTAGTTTGCGGGAATTGAAGTTTTCACGAGTGCGCGTGACCTATACAAACTACTACATACTATCTACTGCCAGATATACCCGAAAAGGAAAACGTAGCGGGAGATATTCATGAGTGATTATGTGCATTTGTGGATATTATAGATAGGTAAATCCCAAGCGTCCTGCTATGCAATGCTTTTTCCGGCCATCGGGCCGATAATTTTAACCGTATCCTCCCCCCTTTTTTTAGTGTCCGTCTCCGTCTCATATCCGTACGGTAGATGCGTAGCCCTACGGGTACAAAGTTCGAGGCCATCGATAAATGCTTCAGCGCGGGTTAAGCAGCCCTGCTAAGCATCGCCCCTTTCCGCAGACCCATGGCGTGCCATTGGCTCCCGGTCCGCGGCTTATCAACGGAGGCGGAGGCGGATGAGCGTACTTCGTAACTTCTTTTTTTGGGGTGGCAGCCCCTTATTCATATCGTAACAACGTCAGGCATCTATTTTTAGTGTTGGGGGTGAAGTCTTGTTCCCATGATGGATGATTGCTCAGATGTGTCGCGCTATTGAGACGACTATGCAGCGACTGCAACCTCCTCAGCAGCCGGGGTGGCTTCGTCCCGGCTGGACGACCACTTGGGTCTCCGCTCTTGCGAGTTGTTCTCTCCACGGGCTCTCTGAACCCTGAGGACGGCACCCCAGGGACCTTCCGCCCGGTTCAGAGCGTTCATGGCATTCTCAGCCTCCTCGACGCTGCTGAAATCGACGAACAGGTAGTAGTGGTCACCGGGCTCGAATCTCTTCGCGGGGTGGGGAGCGAACAGCTTGCTGACATTCTCACTATACAGCCAGGTTAGCATATCCCGAACAATCAACGCACTCAAGGACTGATCCATACACATTGTAATCCTTGAAGAAGTTGGTCATGTTGCTGGTGATGGCCTCCTGGTCCGTCAACCTCGGCAGGCCGCCAACATAGAGGCGACGGCTGGGATCACTGTTTGAGGGGGTGCTGGCGGTGGTGGTGGTAGTGGTCTTCGAGGGAGTGCGCGGGGGCTGGGCCTCGTCACCGCGGCGCCAACGGTCCATGCTGAACGGAGAAGACCGCGTCTCACGAGGGGAGGCATCGGAGCGCTGCTGCTGTTGCTGCTGTTGCTGAGCCCGTTCACTCTGGGTCTTCACGACACCGGGCTTGATCTTGACGGGACGACCAAGCATGTCCCGACCGTCCAATTCCGTCATGGCGCGCTCAGCCAGCTCCTTGGTCTCCAGGTCGACGAAACAGTATGAGGGGTTGCGGCCGGTGAAAGGATCGATGGCGATGTCGATACGCTCGCTATTAAGCACTCAGTTTGGAACTCCCACGGTTGTCTTCAGTTCAAAAGAATCCATACATTCGGAACTCAGCCGCATCGAAGAGAGCCTGCACATCCTCCGACTTGGCCGTGTAGGGCATGTTGCCCACATAGAGACGGCGACCCTCCGAAATAGCCTGGGGCACATGCGGGCTGGGTCTGCTGAATGCGAGTCTCGAGGTGCTTGTCTTGGGACCGGGAGATCCGGCAGCGGCGCTCTGCCCACTAGGGCTCTCTTCGCGCTTCACACGCCAGTTGGGAGAGTGGAAGGCCCGGCCTGTGGTTCTCACCCCATTCTGGTAGACATTCTTTTGGGGAGCTAGGCACGCATTAGCGATTTAGGATATGGCCTTGAAAAAATTGGATCCAGCCCCAGATGAGCAGCCCAATGCGATCGCCTACACACTTTGTTCCTGGGGCCTCGGGCTCTCGGGAGCGTCGACCATTGTGACGGTAGAATATGGAGTGAGGGGTGGAGGGGTATAGTCTATCGATCCAAAGTTCGTTAGTATGGATTGACACAGAATTTACTTATTTCCTAATCGGACAGAGACGATCACGATCATGAAGAGAGGGGATTCATACCGGTGAACAGGACAAAAGAAGCGTCACAGAAAAGCCAACGACTGCCTTCCAGAAAATTCCCAAGGCAAGATAAAACCCCCGGACAACAAAAAGAGTGAAAGTCAACACTGAAAAAACGTCGACGCTGTAGCCTGCGTCAGAAAATTGCCCTCTACATTTTTTCGATGCGAAATGAAACCAAACAGCGCAAATGCCGCAAACAGCGCAAACAGCTGGAGATGGATTAATCTCTGCGCTGCCGATGATTGGCCTGTTAGCGAACCGGGGGAGATTTTCCTCATATAAAGCCGCCCTTTGTTTTCTTCTCATTCCTTCTTCTCTAACAGCGTTAATATTCTTCCCTGCAGCGGGATTGAATCAACTCAGATATCTATGTTACTCGCTATGGTGACTGTTTAATAAACAGTATCTGACAGCTTCCAAGCTACGGGATTAATGCATTCCGTCAGCTGCTCGGCAGACTTGCAAAAATGTCGCCAATATTCAATTTTCCATTTCGTTTATTGCATGTTTTTTTTCATTTGCAGCGTTCCACACCCATACAAGTCATCCTTCAATGATGAAGCAAGATTTCACACAGACCTGTTCCGAGTTTATAAAACATGCGGATCAACAATCGTTCCAACTGCTGTCTGACGATGTGATGACTTGTATCCCCTTGCACTTATTCAAGATAGATTTAAAAAGAAAAAAGAGAAATGATACCTATACTCGTGAAATGGATCCCATGTTGTAATTGCTTAGTAGAAAACACGCATTCGTCAAAATAGAGACTTCTATGATATTTTTTATGTGCCTTGCACGTGGTAATGTATGGTACATGGAATGCGGGTTCTCCACGACGATCTATCTGCATTGGAGATAGAGGGCAAGCAATAGTTATATTACTGTCCTTGCCTGGTACCATTGATTGAGATAAGCAGCCCTAGTAGTAGTCAGATTAATTGATTGTTCATCGAGCCAACAACAGTCCCTACACTTGAGTAATACGCCCGAGCCAACTCAACTTATTCACTCTCAGGAGACAAATGAATATAATAATATAAATAAGCTCATAGATATACTATTTTATTTTCTCAAGGACCCCCCAGAGAACAAAGAAAACCTCAGTCACTCATATACATCATGCTATTTACACACCATCCATCACAATGATAATCATCACCTCTTCAACCCCAAAAACGCACCCCCCAACACCCCAAACACCAGCACATGCAACAACACCCCCAATCCAGACATAAGCAACAACACCCACCCCTGCAACTCATTCTTAACCACGACCTCCGAATACCGCTGATCACTAAAGCTAACCCTCGAATACAGCGTCCTCCACCCCAATAGGGGCACATACCTCTGCAGCGCCTCCTCAACAAACTTCCTCGCCTTGTAAACAGGAGAGTTAACCCCACCGCGTAACTCAAGATAATTCCTCCTCGAGAGGTCATGAATAGCATGTGCATCGCGAACACGCTGGTTCGAGTACTCCGTTAACGCAGCAGCGCGGGCATGGTCTTTGTCCAATGACTTGCCATGGCCGAACACGCGATGCTCGTCCAGCAAATCAAACAGGATCCTCACATCCTCCATCCCCGCGTTCAATCCCTGTCCGTAGAACGGGAACATGGCGTGTGCGGCATCGCCGATGATGACGGCCGCTGAGCCAAGGTGGTGCGGGCTGCATTTGATGCCGATGAGGGGGAGGTGTGGGCTTTGGTAGAATTGCTGGGAGAGGGAGGACTGGGAGATCAGGTCTGGACAGACGCCTGGGAAATGGGTGTCGAAGAAGTCGAAGAGGGTGGCGGGAGGGGAGGATTTCAGAGCGTCGAGCCGGGATGCTGGCGCGAAGAGGATGCAGTTGAAGGATTGGTCTGGGCAGGGGAACGCGCAAAACATGTATTCGCCTCCCGGCCAGATGTGGAGGTAGTTGGGGCGCAGACGGAAGGAGTTGGTTTTTTCGGTGGGAGGGATGCGCAGTTCGCACCAGACTGTGTCGGCGTATTGTTGTTGGTAGTCCAGGGGAGTGTAGCGCATTATTTGTTGTCTGGTGGTGGAGTGAGCGCCGTCGGCGCCGATGAGGAAGTCGAAAGGGACTTCTTTTGGTGGTGGAGGAGTAGTGGATGGTGATGTGGTTGGTGAGTATTCTTCTCGTTGCTCGAACCAGACCTTACGGGTGTTCATGTCTGCTCGGATGAGTTTGTGGTGGAAGAACATCTTGACGTTGGGGGTGGCGTCGAGCTCTTGACGGAGGGCTATGTTGAGGGCCTTGCGGTCCAGGGAGTATAGGGAGTTCCCGTGTACGTCGTATTGGTGGAATGTCTCTTGGAGTTTTCCTGAGACGCTTCTTCCGTGGACCATTCTACCGTGCATGGGGATGGCAGTCCGCATGATGGCACGAAGTAGGTCGGTTCGACCAGACTTCTCGAGGGCTCTGATGCCCCGCTCGGATAGAGTGAAGTTGATTGATTTCTGGAGCAGGGGAGAGGCACCTGCTGGATTCTGCCGCTCATCTAGGGAAAAGTCAGTTGGCTGGATATATGGGTATGAGAGCTCTTTGGGAAGTACAAACCGCCACGAAGTTCGTAAACTTCTACATTGTCATGGTAGTGGCTGGCATAGAGGGCCGCCAGGGAGCCCACTGGCCCACCGCCAACGATGACAATCTTTCCGTCTGCAGTCATTGTAGTCATATTCATTGTCATTGGAGACTAGGATGATGTCTTCTCGTATACTCACAGGGGAGAAGAGGAGTGGTCTTATATAGCCGGAGCAAGCCCTCGAGTTACGCAATATGAACTACAAAGAATTTTGCACAAAGTCTATACTGGCAACGCCCGTAGCACTTGTCTCATCTCCGACGCTTTACCGTCATCAGGCAGGTAGAGCCACGAGATCATCATGAGAGAGCAGCCATGTGGGTCACTGCTCAGCCGTACGTACATCTTGCTCCGAGTATTTACACGAGCAAAATATGGTAGGTAAAAACCGGCACGTTGAAGCCGCACGTTAGTGGGTTGTATGCAGCTGTGACGACGATTATGCATTGACGTAGGCGAGGAGCTGAACTCAATTCCAACTAGCCAGACATCAGTCAAGGACATGAGAGTAAAGAGCATCGTAGATACAGTAACAATACAGACTTGTCGATGCAAGTCATGTGGAGACAAACATAGTACTCCATAGTCTACTAAGGAAGTAGACGGAATTGCTCAAACCCCGGAGGATCGCAAGTGTCCAACAACACCACATCCTTGGCTATAATTAATCTAGCTCTGGGCAACGATGCAACACACTACATACTAATTATTCCAATTAGGTAGAGGTGATGTACTCAGCTGAAATGCACGTTGTCGTTGGCGCGAAGGTTTGAGCGCAAACGGAAACCCCATCATTGGACACCTTACGATGCAACCCCTCCTCCTTGCATACCGAGTTTAAGCATTGTTGGAACACGGACGAACCCACTTCAGCTCCAATCAACCATACAATCCAATTAGACATCAGTTACGGTCAGGCTACCCATTCCTGCCCCGTGGGACCTAAACTAAAGCATACCTGCAAGTCCAGCCCGACGTTTATGACCTATCCACCACGACCATCGAATGTAGTAAGTGTACATACTTTAATCCATATAAACATACCTACATCCTCGAACTTACTGCACGCCATGCAGAAACAATCCTTCAGCCAGCTCACTCAAACACCTACAACTCGTTATCACTAAATCTCCGAAATCAATAAACCCTGCACCTTGCTCCCAAAAAATGCCAAAAATACCAAGAACCAACACCATTGACAAATTCACCTTCACACGCCCCGGCGACGTCGTCTACGAATTCCCCAAATACACCTCCGCCTCCTGCAAAGTCCGCATCACTCTGCCCCCGGGCAGCACCTGGACCTCAGGCCCACACTGGCACGAAAAGCGCGTCGAATACTTCCGCGTCGTGCAAGGCGCCGCCTGGTTTACTCTCAACGGGGAATACAAAGTCTATCGGCCGTCCGATGGCAACGTGCCGATCCCATTATTTACAGTCCACGAATGGGGTCGGGCTCCCGAGCAAGAAGAGGGGGATTTAATCGTCGATGAATGGACGGCACCGGCCGATTCGTTCAAGATTGCGTTTTTCCGTAACTTGAATAGTGTCATTCTGGATGAAACGAGTGATGGGAAGACACCGCCGAAGAATGAGTGGTGGTTAACGCTGCAGCTGTGGGTGATTTGCCATGGGTTGGATAATTGGCCGGTTTTCTGTAGAGGGTTGTTTGGCGTGCAGTGGGTTGTCACGCATGTGTTCTTGGCTTTGGTTGCGTTGGTAGGTTGGGCGGTCTGGGGGTTGAGGGCCGCTTATGATGAGTATACGGCGCAGAGCATCAAGGATGTCATTAGAGCTGCTAAGGAGGGGAAGAGGGTGAAGAGACATTGATTGATTGCATACTGCTTTGTGTATAGTGTTTGCCACGTCAAGATTGGACGTGGGATGAACGTTAGGCCTCCTGCATGAATTTGATACTATCGGTTGCCAAGCTATGCAGTTCTAGTAGTTTACATTTACCACACAGTCGGTATTAGTCAAAGATTCAAATTGAGCTTTGAGCTACAGTTAAAGTAAACTCTTTGTTCAGTTGAATTCAGCAGGTATTGACCTTGTGATATTAGCGGTGATCGGCGGATAGCCACCATAGCGCTGGCCCACATCATCTTTTGCTTAGAACCAACTAACTCGGAGGCCGTCTGTTTTGGGCCTTCGGATAGTCTAGTCTGCTAAGTATCGACGCCCAATGCAGCTACTCCAACGGTAACTGACACTACGGAATTACTCTTCTTAGCCGACACTCGCTGTATATGGAGGATTAGCCGAGCAGGCGAATAATCGGAATTTCCGAGGAGGGTATACCACCGATATCTACTCCCGGCTGCTAACTAGCTAGTGTGCAACGTCCTCATCGAGAGGCGATCAGATTGGACGGACAAGATAACTACAGTATACTAGGTAGGTGGGCCAGAGTTCAGCTCAGCCCAGCTCCGCACTTTATTTTCTCACCTATCAGCTGCTCAGTGATACTCTGTCCAGATGATGGAATCTAATGATTATATCGCGTATACGTATACTATCTTAGATTAAACCATGCAAAGCAATAAGGAAATTATTTCCGATCCTAATCTTGACTAGCACCCATCCATACCACTAGTGACCGAGTGACTATATATGAAGGAGTCCCCACTAGTTGAAACCAAACTTACTAGATTCATAATACTAAACCCCACCTATCCATGCATACAAGGACTTATGCCTCTTCTTGGTTAGTATAGACATACCGAGAATATTAATACATCATTTATACCATATATGCCTCAGTTCAAGATCTTATCGATCGAATCATGTGGATGCTTTGTCCCGGCCCGACCATGATTCAGCTGAGGTGGGGGGCGTCATGGTTGCTAGGTATTAGCGCCGCATTAGTTAGTATACCCAGTATGCGTAATCGCCCAGGCACGGGCGACTTTGCCACCTTGGTTGCCACTGCAGGGGGATTTCCGTGGAGGGGATGGGAATGCGTTATTGCGTTTTGCTACGATTGGGTTCGTGTGGGGTCGATGGAGAGGAGGATACTGTAATAGACACCTGAGAATGAGTAATGAATTGGTTTAGGATCAACGGTGCATTGCTGATTGGGATCATGACTGAATCAGGGATACTTTTGCCGGTCTAGTTGATTGATTAAGATTTATTTGACAAAGCAATTGCTCGACAACTCTGCTACAAGCTAAGCAACATGATCATACCATATCCTCCATTTCGTGTAGACCTTCATACAGATGACCATCAATCATGACATGAGATTTTTGAAAGATTCAGCGAGATCGTCAGGCAGTATTGTAGCCAGCCTCGGTCATGGGGACCTCGTCATCTCGCTCATACAGGATCTCCGGGCGGACTTTCTGACGTAAAATGTACCTTCGGAAAAAGTAAGGGATCTGGCGAAGACCGTATGCGGCATGGAAGCGGGTGGGAACTGAAAAGACTTGGTCCAGTTCTTCCAGCGTCTTCCCCTTGGTCTCAGGCATGAACATCAGGATCAGCCACCACCCGACGATGCACCACCCCGCGTACCAGCTGAATGCCCCCTGCGGGGTAAATGCCGCACGCAGAGATGGCCAGGTGATGGCTAGCAGGCAATTGAACAGCCATGTCGTCGCAGTCGCCAAGGCCATGCCGTGGGAACGGACGTAAAGTGGGTAGGCCTCGGCGGAATAGGTAAATGGTACAGGGCCCTCCCCGACAGAATACACTATCGCGAATAGATATGTGCCTAATGCAATACATCCAAGCCTGGCTGAAGAGTGCGTATCTTCCGGGATCCAGAAGCTGAAGCCGGTGAAGAACATGGACAAAGCCATTAGAGGAAAGGTGGTGAGGAGAAGGTTGCGACGGCCAAAGGTATCAATTGTGTATACAGCCGGTATAGCGAAAAGCCAGTTGATCATACCCCAGCCAAAAGATGCTGCCAGTGCCTTTCGCTGGTTTGATACGGACAACTGCGTCAGAGAGTTTCCCGTAGTCCCGAGAAAGATCTCGGATGAATAGTAGGCAATAACATTCACACCTGCAGGACATTTAGTACGTTGCATTCTGGGGTTTTTCGGTAACATACCGCAGAACTAATGCAATCAGTTAGCAGGAGCTTAGTTGCAGTAGGGAGTTGACATACCTGTTGCATGAACATGACCAGCTCCGATGCAATCAATGCGCGCCGGTTTCGGGGAACTGCGATGAGTTCGATGAGTTTGTTCTGCCCGAGTTTCATGCCCGTCTCTGCCTGCAGTAATGTGTGCATGTAGTACAAGTCACGCGCAGCTTGGACCTTGTTGAAGCGTAAACTGCACATGGACTCATAGGCCTTGTCATAGCGGTTGCGTGACATGTACCAGCGAGGCGATTCGGGGCACGTGAATACAAAGCAGCAGACGAGGAGGGCTGGAAACAAGGCCGATGCCATCATCAAGCGCCAATTAAGACCGACAATACCTGCAGGGTCCTGTATCTCGAAGAAAGCCAGATCGGCGACATAGCCGAACATGATGCCAAAGGCGGTCCACATCTGCCATTGCATGACCAAGGCACCACGAATGACTGGAGGGGCGGTTTCTGCGGCGTAAATCGGGACGGTAGCTGACTTGGGTCCAATGCCAAAGCCCAGAGCAAAGCGCGCAATGAACATGTGCCACCAAGTGTTGACGAACCCTTGCCAGAGACAGGTGATGGCCGAAAAACAGCAGGTAATGAAGATGGTGCCTCGTCGGCCAAACCAGGCATTGAACGGGACAGTTAGCCAGCAGCCGACCAGAGCACAACACATGTAGGGTGCGCAGTTTACGAGACCAAGCAGCCAATTTGACCTTGACTCGCTGCCACGATCAATGCCGAACTGATGCTTATAGAAAATCTGGGCGCCATTGACGACGGTTTCATCTGCAGGTGCACGATTGCCTTAGCCTGTGTCGTGCCACATCAGGCGTGTTGAGGAATGTCTTGAACTTACCCATTCCCTGAACAGCAGCCGACAGGGAACACAAGCAAATGACCAGGTACATTGTCCATGGCTGGGACCAGCGATGAGCGTATTCATTCTCCAGCACTGCCAGCTCTTGGGGCGTCAGACCGGGCACCTCTGCATATCTTTCAGGGACTTGCGCCAGCATGGCACCCATTGCAAAGGCACGCACATCCTCTTCGTCACCCATCTGGTGAGTGATGGCGAAGTTGATGCCCTGCTGACGCAATTCCTCTTGGGTATATCCGGCTAGCGGGTTGGCCAGCTTCGCGTTCATGTTTCGCCGCGCTCGCTCTGCAGCTGTTCCGAACGAACGCTGGAGACGAATGGTTTCCCTATGGTCAGATACATATTCATCATTCGAGGGCTTGTTCTCGAAGATAGGCTCCCCGATGACCGGGCATTCCTCTTTTCCAAACATTTGCAGATATTGGGATCTGGTCGCGATGATGGCAGCTGATACTGTGGGGGGTGTGGAAAGGAGAGACTGCGTGAAGATCAGCAAGAATTAGCATGGTGTCGATAACGTGAAGAGTTATATGAACAGTGAAAATGAAGGAACAGATTAGCGACCGAGACCGGAGAAAACAACATGAATGGCTCATTGCACAAGGATGGATCGTAAACCTGGCTGGACCGTTGGCGCCACTCCGAGGTGCATCAACAAAGGATGCAAGCATCAACAAAGAACCGTATGGTGAGAAGAGCGGATGTGAGCATACGAGCCAAGCAGGTCTACCAGCGATAAATTGGACGATACAAAGAACTGTTCAACGCGTAGGATGTGGTGCAGGGATATGGAAAGGAAAGGCGTGCAGAAGAGTGGAGTGGGATGCATCACCACTCGCACAACTGACACATTTGTCAACTCACCGTTTCAGCCAACATCCCGGGGCGATGACCTCGATGGGCCACTGAAACAGATCAAGTACTGAGGCCGGAAGCGTTGCTTGTTTATCCTTAGGTGAGAATGTACGAGAAAGAAAAGGAAGAGAAAGGCTGGAGTCTGACTAACGAGCGACAGGGAAAGACACGATTCACTATGGACACATGCAAGACAAAGAGGGAATGAGACTCATCCAGTCTCTGTCTGGGGTTGGCTGCTCCTTGAGGCTTGGAGACGGCCTTTGGCCGTAATCAGAGACGTGGTTCCCAGTCGCCTGGAGTGTCATTTCGGGAAATCAGTGGGCAACATTGTGGTTGTACAAGCATCGCTTGCTGCAATGAGGCCACCCTCCCTGTTGGATAGCGGTTTTGACGCCCGCATGGCCATGCAACCCCAGATGCTAAAGATAGAGTTGCCATCTGGACTGCATCCGTCGACGTCGGGGCAATGTTTGATTCCGAATCTAAAGGTCATGGAAGTCCTGGGAAATTAAGGTGACCATCGAGCCAGACACCACGAACAAAGCAAGGGTGGAAAAGATTACCGAGACTCACTTGTCATCTTCAAATCCCCGGATCGCCGTCGCTTAGAGGTTAACTGGCGTGCGGGGTCGCTCTTCTCCACCGTCGGATCGCGCCAGGCCCGTCGGATGGAGCTAGACCATTGATGCTACTCTCCTTATCCCAGGATCGATTGTATTTGGTCATCCGATGGTTCTGATGCCGCTTTTCCGTTCGGATCTCCTTACAGGTCCATCTGTTGAGTGCCAGGGAAGTCGAACGTCACAGTTACTACCCCGCATTCCACGATGGCACCAGAACTCCTAAACTGACTACAGACTATTATCCGAGCCAGAGGGACAATTACTGGTCAAGGACCACGCTGGTAAAAGCAAGGGAAAATGTTTTGTATAGGATGGTGACGATGCACGTTTGCATAGTCTGAACGGACGGTGACGACATCGGTTCTAGCCGACTTGTATGCCGCTTCTTCTGTCCATCCTAGCTTATCCGCATGGTCGGATGCAGACACTCCTGCTAGCTATCGGAACAGCAGACGGATAGATCCAGGTACAAAGTATGTACTATCCATTCCTCCCCACTCGTGATACCCCACAGACTCTAATGTTATTTGACCGGCGAGTCCATGGGTCGGCAAAGGGTCGAGAGGGGGAACATACCCGCTTCCGACCCGCCTCTGTTTCTCGATGATGGCATCACCCAGTTTATAAGTAGACACCATCTCCTCACTTCTTTTCCAGCAATTTGTACAATATCCCAAACTACCTTGATTCCTTCTCTACTCACACATCCCTGTACACAACATGCTTGGTAAAATCGCCCTCGAAGAAGCCTTCGCGCTTCCCCGCTTCGAAGAGAAGACGCGCTGGTGGGCCAGTCTATTCTCCGTCGACCCCGAAACCCACGTCAAGGAAATCACCGACATCAACAAGCTGCGCATCGAACATGCCGACAAATACGGCGTGGGATACCAGATCCTCTCCTACACAGCCCCCGGTGTCCAAGACATCTGGGATCCCGTCGAAGCCCAAGCCCTAGCCGTTGAAATCAACGACTACATCGCAGAGCAGATCCGCGACAAGCCCGATCGCTTTGGCGCATTTGCGTAAACCTCCCTCCCTCATCTCCATACCCTACCTTACCACACTAACTCTAATCCCAAATGAAGAACCCTCTCCATGCACAACCCCCAAGAAGCCGCCTCTGAGCTCCGCCGCTGCGTCCAAACCTACGGCTTCAAAGGCGCCCTAGTAAACGACACCCAACGCGCCGGCCCCGACGGCGACGACATGATCTTCTATGACAACGCCTCCTGGGATATCTTCTGGCAAACATGCACAGAACTCGACGTCCCTCTGTACTTGCACCCTCGCAACCCCACCGGCACCATCTACGAGAAGCTCTGGGCAGACCGGAAATGGCTCGTGGGTCCGCCGCTCAGCTTCGCGCAGGGCGTCAGTCTGCATGTTCTGGGGATGGTCACGAACGGCGTGTTTGATCGTCACCCCAACCTACAGCTCATCATGGGTCATCTAGGTGAACATGTGCCGTTTGATATGTGGCGCATTAATCATTGGTTCGAGGACCGCAAGAAGTTGTTGGGATTGGCGGAGACGTGTAAGAAGACGATTCGGGAGTACTTTGCTCAGAATATCTGGATTACGACTTCTGGGCACTTTTCGACGACCACGTTGAATTTCTGTATGGCGGAGGTCGGGGTCGATCGCATTTTGTTCTCTATTGATTATCCGTTCGAGACGTTCGAGGATGCGTGTGTTTGGTTTGATGGCGCGGAGTTGAATCTTTCCGATAAGGCTAAGATCGGGAGGGATAATGCGGCGAGGTTATTCAAGTTGGGGGCGTTTAGGGATTATGATGCGAAGGTTAAGGCTTAGTTTGGAACTAGGACTAATGGAATGAAATGAATATGACTTCTTTTTGTGGATTGGGTTCATGGTATTTGGCTGACGAGCTAGGATGGTTTCACTAGATTACATCTTGAAATCTAGTTACATCGTAGGGGTAAATATGTAGATGTGCTGCTTTGTCAATCCACCACCCCCATTCCTTATTCCTCTTTTTTTGTCTTTTTATTTTCTTTTATTTCTTTCGTTCTTTCTTTCTTTCTTTCTTTCTTTTTTTTTTTGTGTGTGTTTTGGATTTTTATCCTTCCCTTTGCTTTCTCTCTTCTCTTATTGGTATCTTGAAATTACCGTTTCTTGCATGTGCATCAGTCCCGTAGGATTCTCTTCTCTCACACCAATCTTTGAATCAGCTCATGACCGAACCAGTATCAGTTAGTCGTCATTCAAACCTGAAGGTCACCTCATATTCACCTCAAGCCCCAGTCGTCTCAGAGTCCTCGGGGTTCTTGGGGGCAGGCACAGCAGGCTGCTCAGATTTAGTGATCGCCTCGTACGCCAAGTCCCTGACTATGACGCCAGGATACATACCCACTGCATTAAGACCAACACGATCACCATCCCCGACCACTGTCTCAGCCTCCTCATCTTCTATCTCCATCTCTTCCTTCACCTTCTTGTTCTCCTCGTTGCGGCGCTCCTCCTCAGCCTGAAGTCTCGCCTGCTCACGCGCAACCTCCCTCGCCTCTGCCCGCTGAGCAGCCTGGCGCTGCCGCTCCCGTTCACCCTCAATATGATGCTCAAGCATAGCATTGATCCAGATCTGAGGGGCCTCTTGCATTTCTCGGAAGTGGGGTTCGGTGTACTTGCCCTTGATGTCCATCGTCACCTTGATGATGGCATCGTAGCTCTCGATGGCCCGGTTGATCAAATCCCAGACTGCGATTAAGGCGCGGGTCATTTCCACGCGGACGGGGTTCCAATTCTCTTCAACAGGAAGCTGCCGCTGGTAATCTCTGATGAAATCAGTGTAGAGATACGCGTCGAAGAAGTCGAAGAAGACGGCGAGAAGGCGTCTTTCGGACGGGCGGGGCTTGTTCATATGGCTGTTTGGAAGGGCAGGCATTAGTTATATTTGCTTTGCTTTTCTGGTATCAAGTGAGAGTTGGGAGAGGACTTGCCTAATAATCACTTCTGCCATATTTCTGAAGCGAGTCACCACGTTATACTGAGTATCCTCAGCAATGTACTTGACCGAAAGCTCAACGCGGCGCGCCCAAGTGAGTTCCTGCTGGAGGATTCTGTCGATGATTCCAAGGGTCCTTCTGAGATCTTCCAAGTGGTACATGACCTCTTCGACCTCCTCACTGGTCAGTCCAAGGACTGGGTCCACGGGAGTTACATGTCTGCGAAACAGAAGGAACTCGAGACGAAGAATAGTATTGCACATCGTCACGAAGCGCGTCCTGGTAGATGGTTTCATATGATCTGAGGCGATCATGGCCCTGATTTGCTCGAGGGCATCCTTCTTGCGCTCCTCAGGCACAAGCTGAAAAGAATCAGAGCCCACTCCTGAGTGCTGGGTGTTCGAAAATTCGGTGCTCAAATATGAGGCCGGAGTAGGGGGACTCTCGATCTTAGGAATGTCTTGTTCATTAGCCGCAGAACTGGCGATAGCTTTATCATCATCCGCCATAGTGAAGGCAAGAGGCGCTGTGGCCCGCAAATCGATCTGTCCGAACTTTATGACGTCCTCACAGACTTTGGCGATAGCTAGATTGTATGCTTCCTCAATCTGCTTGTTCTCGTGGGCCTCCTGCGTTTCACACGATCTGTAGTATTCCGGAAAAGGCTCGGTGTTGACGCCTGGAGGAAGCGGGAGACTAGAGCCTGTGATATCGATTCCAGAATCGGGTCTATTTTGAGAGGAAAAGGTCAGAGTGGGTTTGCCCATCGGTTCTTCATTCACTGTGGGCCCAGGTTCCCCGAGGCTTTCATTTCTGCTGTAGGTGGAATTTGCCATGGTAGCGTCGACAGTGGAATCATCGTCTATTTCCATGGGAAAGACCATCTCATGGTCTTCCTCCTGTGCCTCCTCGGGGTGCCTCTCAAGGTATGCGAGGTGGTAGCGGTAAAGCTCACGAATACCGGAGTCTATGCTTGACTTGGCGGAGAGAGTGCCACTGGTGGTAGGTTCCGATGCCATGATAGGCAACTGGTCGCGTGATTCAGAACTGTGCACAAGTGTTCCTGGAGAAAGAAGCCCACGTCAAGGTATCACAACTGCTCATATGCGTTCACGAACACTGGAGAGCAAGAAGCAACAGCTTGCGTGATGAAGAAATATGAATCACTGCTCTTGAAGAAGAAAGCACATACACAGTATCACAACTGCTCAGATATCTTGATGAAGACTGAATATGATGAGGCCTTAAAGAGAGCGACGACGAGAGAAGAAGAAGAACACTGGAAGATCATCTTCCTGAGAACACTTATCAGAGCGGACCCGACAATGCGATCTCATCGCCGACTAAGCAGGAGGATTCACTGTGTATACTGCTTCCAGAGGGCTGCTGAACCACTGAATGGTGCGACTGTGAGCACAGGAACAGCGGTTCTGAGCACAAGGACGGTGATCAGACTGATGTGACATTCTGCCTATCTAGCAAGTTGGTCTGGGAAGTTGCTATCGCGGGTACAATATCAAACCATTCCAGTCTACAGGTGGTTGATGCCAATACAATTGCTCTATCCTTTATGACAAAAAGTAAGGGTATGGGCGTATCCAATTATTCTGGGTTTCATTGACATAAAGAACAGAGAAAGACTAGACCACATCGCCATGGGTAGGGAAACCTGTACGGAAGTTGTCACTTGAGATGAGACCGACCAAGTGTCCTGTGACATTCTCCCGGTCGTCAATTACACTGCATAGCTAAGACAGCCTCAAGAACGCCATACTCGCCTTTACCACATGAATGCATAGTTGGGCGTGTTATAGTGGATCAACCACAGGCGGAACGGCCCTTCCCGTGGTTCGCCTCAACGACTACTATCTATAAATGAGTACTGAACTTGGTGATGACGGCATGGGCGAAGGATCAAGAAAGTCGCTGTTTGCAGAAAAATGACACAGTAGAAAATAAAGAAAAATGCATGAACGCGATTGCTATTGCTAATATATCGTTTTTGATATCTGGTCTCTGAATAGATGTTGACCTACGGTTGGCAAATATCCCTGAAATAATCCGCGGATAATCGGAGTTGGGTGTCCCTATTCGCTCGTAGGCATTAAACTTTTTGTAAACTATTCAAGATACAGAAGCAGGATTGCCTCGATCGTTGCAACGGGGCAAGTCTCAGTCTTACGGTCCACCAGCACAGCTTGGCCTGAGAAACTAACTAACTACTTGAGAATGACATATGAAATAAAGGCACAATGTAAATAACATTCAGGGTATATGAAAACTACATATTATGAGTGTACCGCACCTCAATCCATGACGCTTACCAAAAGAATTCCAAAAGAATCGAGCGTCTAGTTTAATCGAGAATGCAGTTTGACCCTCCCTCCAGTCATGAATGCGGAACTAAGCAGGTGAAAAGGAAAGAACAAAACGTCCTCGCCAGCCACACTACTTAACAGACATGAGCTGTGAGGTTAGCGAGGGTCTGCATCGTTCTTCGCACAGTGACTGATTGGCACCTCATTGATAAGGAGTGTGACAACTCAAAGTAGTGCGTGAATATCGCCAGCGAATAGAGCACTTAGAAGGATAGAAAACAAACTTGAATACGAAGATTCATGACTGTAGATGGCATACGTCGGACCAGGGTCAATCTTCCTTCTTACTTTCGTCGGACTTTTCCGCAGAGGCTTTATCATCTTCATCTTCGTCATCAGGCAACGGAACATCCATGACTCGCTCTCCGGCTTTTTCTAAAGCCCTGCAGCTCCATGTTCTTACACCTTTGTAAACAGCCTAACATTTGCGGTCAGAAATTGGCAATAAAAAGATTATAGGTTGTGAACATACCCAAAGAAAACTACCAACACCGATGACGATGACCAGCCACGCGACCCGGTTGCGGCCAGAATTCCTTCCGCCAAACATCCCTGTGCCGCGCAGTGTCAATCCATGCCATGAAGAAAGCGCAAACACAGCCTTGATGAAAGACAGAAAGCCCAAAGAGGCTAGTCCCTTGATGAAGTGCTCAGTCCAGGAAGCCTCTTCGTTGTCAGGTAAGATACTCGTCACAGGACGCGTATCCCAGTAGTCCGAGCGAATAATGGGGTCCATAGGGTCCACGTATAGATTAATGATCGGGTCAGCAATAAAACCAAGTAAAAATACAGTCAACATTAGAATTATTAGGGTGAGTCCAAGCTGCGTCAATGGGCTACTGATCCAGTGTGCCCACCGGAGGCGCTCTAAGCGATAATGGAAACCACAAGTCGGACAGTGCCAGTAATTCCTCTTGCCATAACCTGGGTCCGCGTGTCGCCAAAGTTGTAGACATCCCTCATGCACATAACGCGAGGATCCTTTGCATTTGCAAGGGCGAAGCAATCGACCAGACTCCGGGTCTGAGGACTGGTATGTCACGCGTTGCCTGGACTGAAGAAACCCAGGCAAGTGTTCGGATGGAGGAGGGAAAGTAGGGTAGACGGTCTCCAGGCAGATGCGACATGTACGAGGAGGGTAATGCTTTTCGAAAGTCTCGCCCGAAGGTTGCGAAGAGCCATCAGGTCCATCGTCATCTTCCGGACTCTGCCTTACATCAAAGTCAGGGTCCGAGGCTGAGACGGAGGCAGAGCTAGAAGGCCACTGCCAGAGCGGCTCATTGCGCAGGTCCATTCTGCCTGAACAGTCTCAGAGCTAATGGCATAATATGATTCTCAGACCTACCAGCGATCTGAGAACCTCTGGCAGCGATTGGTAGGCGTCTGTGGCGGGAGATGCGCGAGGACGAGGAGGAAAAAGAGGGAAAAGTGGGTGAGGGAAAAAGAGGCCAGCTTAAAAAGGCGATGTGGAGAAGAAGTCGTGCCGTAACCGCACTAGCCGCTCGCCTACCGTCACCGCCCGAGGCGCGGCTTGGCGCCAAACCAGCGGGCGGTGCTGCTGCTGCTGCGTCAACATCCTGCCGCCTGCTGTCCTTGAGGGTAGCTCTATTCTTGATCCCCCACGACCTCATTCCATCTCCGTTCACCTTTCATCCATCACTTCTGCACACTTTCATACCCGCTGGAGCTTGTAATTGTGGAAAGACGCACTCATGGCTGATCGCTACTCCTTCTCTCTGACCACGTTCTCCCCCAGGTAAGAGAAGCTCACTGCTCGATAGCTCGGGTCCTTGCTAACATTGCTCAGCGGAAAGCTGGTTCAGATTGGTAATTAATCGCTGCCACTGCCAGCAGCCGAATTAGTTGTGCTGACGAGTCTCAGAATATGCCTTGAACGCTGTTAACCAGGGTGTAACTGCTCTGGGCATCAAAGGTATGACATAGCTCTGACCCGCTCGAGCTAGCTTCGAATAGCTACTGATGACCAACGCTACTCAATAGCTACCAACGGAATTGTTCTTGCAACCGAAAAGAAAGCGAACTCGCCTCTCATTGACCCACCTTCCCTCTCCAAGATCTCCCTGATTACGCCCGACATCGGCATGGTCTACGCAGGAATGGGTCCCGATTACCGTGTGCTCGTGGATCGGGCCCGCAAGGTTTCTCACACTGGCTACAAGCGCATTTACAACGAATACCCCCCTACCCGGATATTAGTGCAGGACGTTGCCCGGGTTGTCCAAGAAGCGACTCAGTCCGGTGGTGTCCGACCGTACGGTGTCAGCTTGTTGATTGCTGGCTGGGACGAGGGCGTTGAACCTGAATCGGGAGAGGCTCAGCGGGGTGACGGTGAGGACGAGCCTAAGAAGGCAACCGGCAAGACGGGTGGTATCTTGAAGGGTGGCCCCAGTCTGTACCAAGTCGACCCCAGTGGCAGTTACTATCCGTGGAAGGCTACGGCCATTGGAAGGCACGCGACGAGCGCAAAGACATTCCTTGAGAAACGTTACACCGAAGGTCTCGAGCTGGAAGATGCCATTCACATCGCTCTTCTAACTTTGAAGGAGACTATCGAGGGAGAGATGAACGGTGATACGATAGAAATTGGTGAGTTTCACATCTGGCAGTTCCTGATAGCTGTCGTGCTGACGATTATAGGCATTGTTGGTCCTCCTGCCGATCACCTGCTTGGTTATGAGGGCGTCGAAGGATCGCGTGGACCCCGCTTCAGGAAGCTGAGTAAGGAGGAGATTGAGGACTATCTCACCAACCTATGAACTATTCCATAGATCTATACAGATCTTGACATATTGAGCCTTGTAGTATAATAGACACGACTCAAGTCTTGCGAGGTTCCCACGATATGACAGGGCGTCCCGACAACGCAGAAACCGGGAGCTGAATGGTGGGTTTTCAGGAGTGACCCTGGAACCTGACGAAATATTTGGGCGGTTCTAGACTCGCCAGTAATACTTCAAAAACCTGATCCGAAATGAATGCTATTGTCAATGAAATTGCACGACTGTACTTTGTCTCCTAGACCCAGTAATTGGGCTGCTGGGCTGTAGGCCTGCAGGCCACACAGCATCTGCAGGATGGACTGGACCCATAGAGCCCCCATTGTAACGTCGTAGTCAGTCCGTCCTTTTGAAATTTCCTGCCGAATAGCAATGACCAATCTAGCTCGGGGGAAAACCTGGGTGTTTACACAGAAGCGATGCCGGCGTTGGACCTTTTGATTGTCAGTGGGCGGGTCACTGCATCAGTCACACGTCCATCAGCGCCAGCCATCTTGACTAGTGATCGCCAACGCCAATTCCTTCCACCAATTTCTCCGCAGCAAAAGCAATGACTAAGACCAGCAAGCCCAAGCGGGGACTCAACAATGGCGATTTTACCTGTCATCCAGCCTGCCGATCGGACAAGGCTTCCTCACAACATCGTCCGCTCGTCCCTGAGTTGATATTCTAACCATCGTCCTCCCTCGCCGTGGCCCAAGCTTGATCTGCCACCATACCCCGAACCCCTCCACTCATAATTAGCTTCGCATCCTCCCACTTCCCCAGATCTGACGGCGCTAGGACATTAGATGAAACTCTGTCAGAGGTGGCCCGGACTTTATCGACTACTCTGGATAGTTGTACCACGTCAGGACCCCGGATGCGGTGTGTTGTGCAGACCCCAATTTGATTACCTTTCCTCTCTTGGGATATCTGTTGATGCCTGACGCTACTGTGAGCTCGATGGTTGCGACTCGTTTGTTCCAAGGCTGAAAACATGTGGATGGTTTCTCTGACCACATGAACCGACATTGATGGCGCGGATACTCAGAGACGGCAAACTGCCTAAGACGACATAATTCAATCAGTTGAGGGGCTGAGCGTGTGAATCTTGCAATTCGTTCAAGTTGCCATTGGCGTTGTGGTCTTCACTTCGGTTGGCTTTAAATACAGCCTGTGACGCTGGCGCAATCGATACCCGGCTCGTGCACACGGAATGCCCATTCTGTGTTTCCCTGGCTTCGCATCTATCTATTACTATGTCCGTTTCATCTACGAAAGACCCGCTGGATGGCATCAGCGGCGAGCTCGCAAGCAGTGGTGGTGCCTTCAAAGCCACTTTGTTGTTCTTTATGGCTATTGCCTGTTACAATGTGGCTGAGCTAGTTGTCATGGTCCTATCAACCTTTCGACGGTGGAAGGGCCTATATTTTTGGAGTTTGCTGTTATCGGGCTGCGCAGGCGTGCTGCCATACACATTGGGGTTTATCATGAAGTTTTTTACGCAAGCCCCTTCGAATCTCTCTGTCACTATACTCAGTATCGGCTGGTGGGTCATGGTCACGGGCCAGGCGGTCGTGCTGTACTCACGACTTCACCTCGTCATTTGCGATGAGCGCATCCTACAGCGAGTGCTGTATATGATTATTGCGAATGTATTCCTTCTACATGTACCCACGACAGTCCTCACATACGGATCCAATGCTGTCGGCGAAGAACAGCCGGCCTGGGTGATCGGATACAATATTATGGAAAAGGTTCAGATGACCGGCTTTACCATCCAGGAGATTGTTCTGTCTGGACTGTATATGTGGGAGACTGTGCTGATGCTCCGGATATGTCTTGTCCGGGAGAACCAAAAAATCATGTATCAGTTGATCTGGATTAACATCGCTATGCTGGTCATGGACCTCATTTTGCTGGGTCTTGAGTACGCCAGCTTCTATGCCGTGCAGATCACGCTAAAAGGAGCGATATACAGTATCAAACTGAAGCTCGAATTTGCTGTTCTGGGCCGGCTCGTCGCCGTGGTACAGAATCGTCGGCCAATCTCGATCGATCGGGACATTAATCTCTATTCTTTGGACCGAGAAACTACCGGTGCTCCTGACCGGAGCCTAGCCTCTGCTGGAGAGAGTGTATCCAGCCGCACACCGTTTTGTGTGCCAGCCACGGGGTACGCGAATGGGACACACAGAAATATCAACCTCGACACCGGAAAAATCGTGACAATGAGGGAGCTTTCAAATTGGGTTCAGCGGCCAAATGACGATCACTGCTGACACTCATAACTCTTCCTTGACAACATCATTCCACATGCTCATTCATAGCGTTGGTGCTGGTGAGATGGGCTGGATTTATAATACCATATGCACTGCATCCTATCCAAACAATGGGTATACATAGGACTCTACTTTGAAACAGGTGATGCTTCGATCCTCTGCTAGTCATCCAAGCCTCGTCACCTTTGACCTATTCAAACTCCGCTTCCGAATCTTCCTCATCCTGGCTGTCCGCAATCTCCTCTGCCTTTCGCTTTCGCTGGCTTGCAGTATCTTGAGCCAAGTCGGAGCGGACATCTTGTGCTTGCTCGTTGTGTGCTTGAATCTCCTGAGTCTGCACCTTCTCTATGTGCTCCTGTGCGTGCCCATTGTGCAGAGGCTCTTCACGCACCAACACTCCTTGCGCAAGGTCCTTTTGTGCAGGCTCTTCTTTTGCGGGCTCTTCCTGTGCAGGCTCTTCTTGGTCAGGCTTTCCTTGCGCTGGCCCTTCTTGCGCGGGCTCTTCTTGTGCAGGGTCTCCCTCTGCAGGCTCCTCTTGTGCTTGGTAATCCTCAAGCTCTGGCTCTTCCTCCTCCACCGGTTCCTCCTCCAATGGCTCCTCCTGTTCAAGCGTTTCTTCATCCTGTGCTTGCTTCCCCCTGACTTGTACAGCGACGCCTTCCTCTTCATTATTTTCGAGCCCCATCTCAACAGCATACAATCCATCCTAATCAACAAGTCAACACACCTATAGCCAAGCGGAAGAAGCACACTAAAGAATCTCAAAGCGGAACTCACATTTGCAACCCGAAAAGGCACTACGCTTGTAACGTCCCTAACAGTGACAAGCCTCCCATCCCTCTTCATAACCTCCGCAACTCTCACGCGTCCGCCATCCACACCATACCCTAGATCACCATAAACACCAACCCGAGCACGAACGCACGATTCCCACCCTCTTCCACTCAATATGGGAGACAGTGTTGCCCTCACCTGTCCCCGAATCCGGGTATGCGTCTGGTTGATAACCAAGGCTGCCAGATTCGCCCTGCTCGCGAACTTCGTCAACTGAGCAGCAAGGTCGCTTATAACATTCCACTTCCGCGCCGTGAGCCACTTCTGGACATCCCTCTGCGCTTGCTGCGGTTGGTTGATATCACTGGGGTTAGGAAAGTAAGGAGTAAATGGGGCAGAGACAGAATCAATGACAAGGAGAGTTGTGTTTGGGGGTGGAAAAGAAGCAGGCGGATGATGGAAGAGAGAGAGGAGGTGAGGAAGTGTGGGGGCACGAATATACGTCAGATTTTCCGTCAGAGAACTGGGAGATGATGACGATGCAGGAGACTGCAACTCGAGTAATTTGCGCAGTCGAGGCCTAGGAAGCGGCGATGCCGTATCTTCAATCATCCCAAAGAACAACCGTCAACTCATACCCCACACACCTAGAAGAACTGAAGCAAAAGCAAAGACAAACCTACCTATCCAAACAACTCCCTCCCCTCTCCCCAGCGCCCCAGCAGCAGCATTCAACCTAATTACCATTCATCAGCACCACATAATTTAATACTTCCCACTTACTCCACTCAAACTACACCGTTAGATAAGAATAGCGAAATAGACTCACCCCAACATAGTCTTCCCCGCCCCCGGTGGCCCAAACACCTCCGTAACATGTCCAACAGGCAAGCCTTTTAGCCGTTCTACTTCATCCTCACCAGACTCACGTATTCGCTCATTTGTCGTCGACGACGACAACGTTACTGGTGCGGAGATCGCCTCATCCAGCGCGACAAGCCCCGTCGGGATGGCATTTCTGCCTGAGGCAGCATCCGGAAACGCGGTGGACGCGTGCAGGGACTGCGAGGCTGGGAAGGAGATTACGCGATCTGGGTGAGTAGTTAGTTCTAACTTGTCTTGGGAGAGAACAGATTTAAAGATGCACGTACGAGGATCCTGAGTCGATAAAGGGGGTAGGTCTAGGTGGTTCATCGTTGGTGTTGGGTAGGGGTAATTTGGTGGATGGGTTCACGCGTCACGCGTTCTGGGTGGTTATGAAGTGGGATGGATATGTGTTGCTGGGATGGTGGTGGGCGAGGGGTCATGTTCGGGGCATTTTTATTGTGGTTGTATTATTTTTCTTTGAAGAGATGGAAATGAAGAATAAATTGAGAGAGAAAGAAACAATATATGGGATTGATTGTGCTTAGATTGTCTGGGTATCCTGGAGTTGACGTTAGATTTGAAGTGGTGGTTGATCCATCCATTGAGGGTGGGTGCTCCGCTCTTCCTTCCCGGTGGTTCACTTTATCTTGATTATCTAGGCTTTCGGCACTGAGTTTGGTCGTATTTATACTACCTGGCAAGTTTTGGAGGACAAGGTTTTATCTTATCTAAGAGATAAATATTCTGAATAGAAAGGTAGTGGAAGTAGAATTGGTGATCTTCCTTGTAACTCTTCACAGGTGATTCGTAATTGTGGTTCACTTGTATATTTTTCCTATAACATTATATACGAAGGCATTAGCCTTTACAAAACATGTCGCACTGTATATCATAGCGACTACGGTTAATCATAGGTTAAGTGGATAAATGGACAGTACTAAATTTGGCTTGTGAATACGTCCATAAAATTGCTTCATCAAATGATGGCGCAATCGGCTCAAGCTTCATATAACTAGGTGTCGAGATCCCCCGACCTACCAGCAATTTCCACTACACCGAAGGAAACTTCCGCGAAGTACTATCGGAATATCCCACCCAATCTACTATCATTAGCAGACCAGCAAGGTCTTTAGAGGCGTGGAAAGTCCCAATCCCTCATGGAAATACCCTGCTGTATGCAGGAAACACCCCCCCACGGACTGGTAGCTCAAGACCCCACCCACACCTATATAAAGGGCCTTGGGCCTGCTGCCCATCCAGTCTTTCTTTCATCAGCAGCAAACACAGTCTGATCAAAGTCTCTAATATATATATCCTCATCAAGGAAGAGAGGGGGCTTTTGCCCCCTCAACCTTATAGAAACAGTCTATATAATACGCATCGCATTGTCCCGCTTCAACGGCACGAAGGATAGCAGAATAGAAAGCCACATATTCCTATATCGATGGAAGTGTGTCTTTATGGACGGAGTCAGGTGTCATGGTGATCCGCAAAAACTATCCGCTATGATCTGCCCAATACAAGGTTCTTCGGCTTCAACTCAACCGCTGTGCCTGGCATGTCGCTGCATCAGCCGTCTCGACACCGTCTCATCAATGGAATATTTCCCACCATGCAGACTGAAGATGACTGAAAAGAGCCATGCCGGTGCTTTGACCAGGCAAACTGACCTTCGATGGACATATGGTTTGTGCTGCGTGGGGAGGCGAAGTTGTGGCACATCGCGCTGTCCCTGAGTTGGTCGTTTTGGATCTTTCTGTTTGCAATTGTTAGTATATTGAATCTGATGATGAGTTGACCGATGATGGCGGGCTAAACAGATAGCGAGTCAAGTCCCAAAGGGCTGCGCTGCGAGAACGCTAAAGTCTTAAGCAAGCCAGGTTGAGCGGGCCAAGATCTGCAATCTCAGCCCTCCTTCCCGTTATATATCCGGCTAGAACATTCACAACAGCTTCAAAGACCCTAGGGCGTTCGTTATGCTCCTATCAATATATATTAAAAGTATATACTCTTTCGCTCCCAATAAGAGATATGTCGGACTGAGAATCCTGACAATTGGTCTCCTCGGAATTCAGCACAACAAAACCCGAAAGAAGCTGGTTGATCACAATCTTGAATAACGCTGTGCATTTATACCATCAATACCCCAGATGCCGGCCAACTAAAGCAGAAGTGGCTAGCAGTCAAGTCATATCGAGCTAAGGGATTACAAACACGCAAGATCCAGCAATGCTAAGCATCCAGGGTGATAAGAGATGTGTGTGGTAGCGAGACTGACACACTTCCAAGCTCGTGGTCATTATGCTTCCTGCTCGTCTGTGCTTCCTTTGTCCTCTCTAACAGTTCTCTATGTGGTCAAACTACCCAACCAATACCTTTCCCAAGGGTTTGGATGTCCAACTCCTCCGAAGGTAGAGGTGCAAGTTGCACAGATCAAGCTGCAACAATGCCTACAGTAAAGGCTACAACAGCTTCGAAGCAAAGACATTGGATCGAAGCACAACTGAACAACCTTTCCAAGCAGGGAAGTCTGGTCCACTGCCCCAACTGAATTCATTGACGGATATACACAACCTTACTTGGCCGAGGGTGGAGCTATTTGACTATTTTGGCAGAAATAGGGGCATTAGTTCTTATATGACAAGAATTGCTTAACGAGCCGATCCATCTACAATCCTTTCGGCTTGGGGGCGTCGTGGGTCAGCCAAAGAGAGTTCCTGAGTAAATAACATGATGGGACGAACCACAAGACAGAGATCGAAGAGCTAAATCTTGGTGGATAGAGTGGGGAGCTCCAGGGCAATCTGAAACATGTCAAACCATATATAAATTGAATGGCTACCAACGGAGATGCGATGGACTAGGATGAAAGGCTGTCCTGGGTAGTGAAAGATACAGGTTCTGGAAGTCAAAATTTTGCATTGATCGCATGACAAATGAGTACAGTCGTTGAGAAGCTCCCTGACATGTCTGTCCCGAACATCACAACTAGAAGGAGCCATATTACAAATGTCTCTCCTACTGCAAGCCCCTTCTTTGCTACCACTCAGATCATCCACTCCTTCCTCCAGCATCGCTTTCATATGCCTTCTTTCGTCCATTCTCGTCACGCAATGAGCCCTAGCTATCCTTAAGCATTTCGCACGATGCTCTGGCCTCATGGAGAGACCCCTGCACCACCATAGGGCGCTTTTCGCCTCGAACAATGCTTCTGTATCAGAGCTCCAGATCCCGACATGTCGCCTCGACTTCCCATAGTTCTGTCGGCGCCCAAACCCCTTCGACAACCTTCCCCAATCCATAGTGGCTATGATATATAATTCATGCATCGATGTGATTTAGCATCTCTGACGCTGCGGATCACTTCCACACAATATTTTGACTATACAATAAGCTAGTCTTGCACAAACACATAATGTCTTATTGAGGAAAAGGAGCTCAAGTCGTCCTGACTGCGCCTCAGGCTTCGAGGAGCTTATGGATTCGCTATGGCATTTGTTTTTGCGACAGTGCAAGCTCATCGCTATTTCGCCACTATTGTATCAATATGGCCCAGTCATTTCATTTCTAGGACATTCTTATCACGGCGCAGACAGGACATCAGAGACAAGTCTAAGAGCGTGTGGATCGTGATTTCGTTCCATTCCATTCAACAGCTGACGCAGTATCGACATGCGATTTGCAGCGCCATACACCCCGCTGCAATCTAGAGTTTTCTGAGTTTGGGTGTGGGTGTGCGTCTGCATGTGCAATGGCCTAGTCAGAAGAGCGTCAGCATAGAAAATAAATTCAACATAGGAAGGAATGGAGACGGACGACTATCGTGATGGCAGAGGCGAGCATCTTGTATCCTTCGACTCCCGTATGCTTTGTTGCCCTGAAGTTTCAGAGACATTATGCAATGGGTGCGGCTCTGGTCTCTGAGATCGGCTCCCCGACAGCTTTCATGCTTCCTCCGTTGTTATCCTAACAACATACCTCCGGTTGGTTGTCCAAAGTCAGTTGCTATCTATTACCCCAAGGCTTGACACCAGGAGCTGGAGTACAAGTGATTGTGGGGGTATTGAGCATTACGAGTATCTAGAACTCCCTGTTTGACCCGTCACCACGTCTTTCGACTCTCCTCCACATGAGCACTATTGCGAAAAACTGCATGCTGAAAAATAAAGACTCTGACACACACGGATGTACATATAGTGTACCATTCTGCATACGACACAACCATCTATCAAGACGGATGGCAAGCCTTCTGAAGGCGGTGGTGTGTGTGTGTGCAGAAATTGAGCATCTCACTAATTCGAGGATGACGAAAACCCTTTTGAAGTCCGGACGGTTTAACATTCAGCCAGATGTCAGTGGCTTGTGCATTTGACTCTACCTTTCTTGACTGGCTAGGCTGGATGATATGAATCATACAGCGGATATCTCCCTAATTTGAATCCAATTTGGCAGAAAATACAAGCCTTGAGCATCGTATGCTGCGTTGCTTGGCCGACTATCCCAGAGCTAATCCTCGTCGGATACACAGCAGTCAGCATCCATGATTGTGGCCTGGTTCTCCGGAATATACAGCATTGACGAAAATGGCGCAACACCCAATGAACCCAGCGAGCCCCCTCCGCACTGTGGTCCTACTGAGTATGAGAAGTCTATGTACAGGAAATGCTGTCCAGGTTCCTGGTCCCTTGCTCCATCCACCAGCGATGCAGAATCGGCGCGCTTAGACATTCCCCACCCGGAACCCAAAGCTAGTGAGCACGATGGGCTATTCCCCAGTCTGAATATGCTGCTGACGAAGGCTTCCTTTGCATACGAGTACACCCCAGATGATGCAAGAAAGAATCACCGGGGCAGGATAGCGTCCGATTGGTAGTGCGACATATACACATATACTACACCTACCAGGACACAGGGACAGTGGG